CATGTACAACTACTACTCCATCACCTACTCATACAAATTCATTTGATTCTCAATCAACAACATCAAAAGGTCCTCTTTCATACTGTTTTGATATACCACAAAATTCCTTAACATTGTCAACAACACCGTATGAATTAGATGGATATATGCTATCAAATGTCCCATTCAGTGGACATGATGATGTTTTATAATTCTGCGACAACAGAATTTAAAATTACCGATCTTATTTTCTATAGCTGAGGATTTTTATGCTATACAAACATCGAACACTATTGTAGAGGGACTGTTCACGTCTGCAAAAAAACACAAGTATCGATAAGCGCATCGATCTTTGTGCAGAAAAAATACTTCTATTGTTATTTTTTCAGAAAAATTTAGCATTATTAAAATCATGTGATGAGAAAAAATGATGAAGTTAATACAACTGAAACGAAAAGAAAGATGGTTGAACAGTCATCTTCTACAATCTCCTATCCAAACTAAATAACAACCTGCAACTACGACAACAAAAAAGACGTTTAGAATGAGTAACGAAGATGATATTGTTCTTTGTGATCATGATTATTGAGAGGATAAGGAAATGCTGAAGTAGATATTTTTTAGAACTTGTAATATTAATATTTCATATGAATATATTGTATGTTAGTGTTTTATCTCATTATTTGACTTTTTCTTCTACCTTTTGAAGGAACCACTTATTTGATGAAGTAATGAACACGAAGAGTCTCGAAGATAAAATGTAGACATTTCTAAAAAAAATTCAATTACTCGGTATTGTGTATGTTACGGTGAAATCGTCGGTTCCTAGCAAAAATTTTAGGAACCGAAAAAGGAACCGCTTTTTCGATTTCGCTAACCGGAACCGCAAGGCTCTACCGCTAATACTAAAGGTGTACAGCTCACGCTCATGAGCTTGGACGGTTTTCCTGACTCGAGTTGAGGAGGGAAGTTACCGTCTTTTATAAAGTTAGATCATCGGTAATCTGGGTCGAGAAATCTGAATCTCTTATCGGTTTCTCGAAGTTTTGAGTTTGATTTTTTTCCAGAAAAATATTCTTTTGATAAAAAGCATTCGTTCACAAAAAAAGAATATTTTTTTTACTAGGAAAATGATTTTATAGTAAAATAATAATTTTTTTGTAAAAAAAGTTTTTTTTGAAAAAAATCAAACTCAAAACTTTGAGAAACCGATAACAGATTCGGAATCCTTGACTTCGATTACCTTTGGTCAAACTTTATAAAAAAACAGTAACCTCCCTCCCTTATTCGAATCAGGAAAACCGTTCACGATCATGAGCGTAAGCTGTACACCGCTACTATAAATTGATATAAGCAGGACCAGAAGCAGGGCATGACAAAGATTTTTTTTAAATTCTTACTTTTTAAGTAGTGACAAATCCAACGTCTTGAAAAGCTGTCAAAACATGACGTTTCAGTTATATAAAAGTACTTTTTTCTATAATATTAAAAAAGCTTAACTAAAAAAAAACGGATTCTGTCATGCCCTACATCTTGACATGTTCTTTTAAAGAAAAAGAAATCAGCAATGAAACTCCTTCAAGAGCTCTGGAATGTCAAATCAAAAAAAAAGTATAAACAGAGAAAAAACGAAAAATATTTCTTTCAAGTAGATGATGACAGAAATCATCAAAAACTTTTGAAAATAAACAAAGTATGAAATAAAAAAATCATGTCGTTTATGAAAGATCAAACTTCGAGCTATCTTTCCATACATTTATCTTAATTTCAATAATTCTGATGAAAATTGACTTTTTTTTTTAAGAGAAAATCTTAACCATGTTAATTAACTTAAGAATACGAACATTTTACGCCATAAATTATTAGGTTGTTTAGATATATTTTCTAAAGAATAAGATGCTTGATAGACAATGATACTTAATTCAGTTGGTGTAACTATAGTCATGTTTAAATACATAGCTAATGTATTGAAGAAAAATTCATGAAATGGTATTTCACCTAATCAATGAACATAATCATCAATAGCTATTAACATTCGTCAAATTAATCCTACTATATTAACCATTGAACAAGACCAAGGTAGAATAAGCTTTCCAACTTTTATTGACCGTAGCCAAGTTGATGTATTACCTAATAAATTAATTTGATTACGTAGAACAATAAGATTACTAGTATACGAATAAAATTGATGTAATAAACGAAATGCTTATACACTCGGAATAAAAAAATATCATTTTCAACTAACAAAATAAATCTATAATTATTATTGAATAAATTAAAATAGAGAAGAGTTTTATTCCATTATGCAATTTCTCGCTATTTATTTGTTAAACTAATTATTTTGTAATAACTATAATAAATACATTTTTGATGTAAAATTTGAATTAATCGAACATTAGATGAAATATTTATAATAGATACATTAAAATTATTATCATCAATCATAATAAATATATCAACATCATATTCTATTGGATCTTGAAACAATTCTAATGCAAATTCAAAAGTTTTAAATGCTTGTCTATAGGTCAAAAAAACAGAGAGCAAAATTTCTTGCTTGAATATTCGTATGCTGATATAAAAGTAGTACTATCATTTATAATTCTATCTTGACCTTTCAACAAGTATTATCATCAAGAGAAAGACTAATAAAAACAAAAAAATTACGCATAATGATACAAAGGAGAGAAGATATATTTTCGATAATGTTTCTTCTCTCTTTTGTATCAGTATGGGTAGCTATTTTTATTAGCCCTATAAAGTTTAGAAAAAAAAAATGTATTTCATTATTTATTTTCAACTGCTTCATAAACTAATTTCCATAGGTCAATAGTTGTTTCCTTTGATATGCATATAGTGGTATCAGCTGGATTTTAATAGCAAAAATGTAGTTAGTTTGGTCACTATGTTCTCTGTATTATACTTGTTTCTAATTCAATATAAACTTTCGTTTAATACAAAGTACTTTTTTTTTGCTGTCAAACTTAATAAGTCATCAATTTATAGTAAATAAGCTTATTTACATAATAGCATAATACTAAATTGAATTTACTTTTTCCACGACGGAATATGCCCAACTGTCGGATGTCGTTCTGTCTCATATTTTGTCTATGAATAGAACTGAATGCAACTAAGAAAACTCTAAATAAGTTCGGAGTCATGCATTATCCAACTAGAGTTATGTCTGTTTTCGTAGATTTTTGACCTCTTGGCTAGCTATTCATGAAATATTAAATTAGGAGATTTTCATCAGAAATTTCGTCCATGGACAAAAAAAAACAAATGAATTTTTCTTGAGTAATCAAGTGTCTAAGACAGTTCGATTCTATGACTTGTTTTGTGATATATACGTGTTATCTCAAGAAGAATACATTCATTTGTACTCAAAATTTTTTGAGATATTTCACTGGCTGCGTCAACATGTTTCTTGATTATTATTTTTTGTCTCTTAAATAGGATAGGAAAATATATCATTCTATAAAAGATATTAACCAGATTTTATACCATCTGTGTCCTTACTGTCTGAATATGTGCAGAAAGTTGCCTTGAATAATTTTTATTTTTAGCTATTAATCGTATAGCTTATTCTAGACAGAAGAAAAGTATCGATATAGACATAATTATACTTAAATTTGAGGGAAAATTGTACTAGAACTCAAATTTCAAAACAAAAAACGGTTTTTTTTTTTATAAATTGTAAGTATTTATAATATACCGAATGTTTATGATCAAAATAGAAGTACTTGTCATTGAATATAAAAATAGAAAAATGATCTTTTATAATTTATGAGTGCATCTGCAACATAACTAAATTAATTACTTTGTTCATATTACAAAAAAAAAAAATAATTATACCAAGAAGTTGCATATAAATAAAAGTTTAACAACTGATGATATTCAATAATATTTTTTGAAAATTATATTTTGTTTCGTTTATAAATTACAAAAATTTATTTTATTAATCTCGACATTAACTTAAGAATTTTTGCTTTAATAAAATTTGTTTTTTTTTTTTTAAAACAAAAAGTCATTTTTTTCAAGGTAATTTATTCAACAATGTAAAGTACTGATTTTAATTGTTAATATTCTTTGTTTAATAAATGATTAGTATAAAAATCTCATGATTTTTCTTTTTTTTTTTCTTCGTTTCATTCATGATAATTTTCATGTAAGTTTGAGTTCCTGACATTATAATACTTGAAAACAAAAAAAAAAAAATCCTTGATTTACTTCCGTTAAATAAAGAACGTTTAACATGGAGGAATTTTTTTTTACTTCCTTGTCAACAAGTATAATTTTGTTAATTTTTTTTTCTTGCTATTTTCAAGTATTTTTATATAGTTAATTAATTTCCCTTTATATTTCAGTTTTTATTCACATCGGTTGAAATTTTCAACCTGATTGTGTGTTAAATGAATGAAAAGAAAAAAAAACAAAAAAAATGTTGGCATCATCACTTCGAATTAGCCATAAATACAATCAAACGAAACTACACAAAAAATAACATATAAATGCTAAAATCAACTAAGACACAAGAAAAAATATATTCCAAGAAACAAAACAAAAAGGAAAATTTCATGAAGATCTTGAGAAAAAGAAATCCTCTTGAGAGAAAAATAATGAATGTGAATGACAAACAACATCGCAAGACAATAGCCAGACACACAAAAAAAAAAAGAAACATAAACAGAATGAAACAAGAGCCACTAGTAATGTTCAAATTAAAAAAGAAAAGAAACCAACTATAGAATAGAATATTTCGATAAAGATAATTAGTTTAAATAAAATAGAAATGAGTAGTTTTACTTTGTCCAAAACAAAAAAGAAAATAAACAACTACTTTTATTCGGTTTTATTTTATTTTTTCATCCAAGCTTTGACTTACCGAAACCTGATAATATACTCAGATTTGAAGCAAAAAAAGAACAAAATTAATGATCACTTTCAAATGTTTTTAAAAAAAAGAAAAAGAAAAAGAACTTTGAATATTTACAAAGTTTTGGAATAAGAGAAATTACGATTTATTCATTATTTTGATCCATATATGAATGTGTTCTATATGGTTTATAATTTGGTGATAAATCTGAGTGATGTTGTTGTTCTTGATGAGGATTATAATATGAACTTGTTTGTTGTTGTTGTTGTTGTTGTTGTTGATGAGTTGGTGAAGGTGTCAATGATGGTGATTGATTCATTTGTCGTAAAAGATTAAGTACAAGATCACGTTTATTTGGATGTGCATGAATAGCATTAAGTAATTGTTGTTCATCTTCATCAAGTGCTGATCTTGTTGGTAAGCATGCTGCTGATTGAGAGTGTTGATTTGTAATATGATTAGTTGAAGGTTGAACTGGTTGTGTTTGACTTTGATTATTTGCTAAATAAGCAAAAAATAATAAATAACAAAATAAATAAAAAAATTTTTTTTTTTGTTTTTCTTGTAATTTTTACCTAATGAAAGAAGAAGTAATTGTTGTTCATTTTGTTGTTGTTGTTGATAACTAGCTGCTGACATATGTGCATAATTTTGACCATAATTTTCATGTGTTTGATCATCATAATATTGTTCTGTTGTTGGTAACATTGTTGAATTGTAAATTTGATTTGCTAAAAACATAAATAGATAAATATTTCTATCTTTCATTATCAAAAAACAAAAAAAAAAGAAGTTCTTACATCGCGAAGAATAATCATATGATGAAAGATCATTTGTTGATGATGAATGTGTTCGATAATGTTGTTGATACTGTTGAACGGAATGCGGACTTGTTGTTAATGATTGGTTTTTTGGTGATAATTGTCGAAATTGATTTGGTATAGAATATCCACTAGAAGAAAAAAAAAAAAATTTTTTTTTTATTGAAAAAGAATTTTATTTTTTCTTTCTATAACTAACGTATTTGACATAATCATAAAATCATCATGATGTACTTGTACCATAGCTGGTACTTGATGATCATGTGGTTTTATATATGAACAATTTGTTTGTGGATATTGATCAATATTTTTATAATCATTAGTTGCTTTTATTTGATTATTATTTGAATTAGTTTGTCCAATTGTTGTAATTTCTGTTTGCATCATTGATGACATTCGATTATGATTAGATAATTTTCGTCTTTTTCTCCATATATTACGTGGATTTGATTCATCTATATTGTCATTGTCATAATCAAAATTATCATCAATTGATGAACGTGATTGTTTCTTCGTAAAATCATCTTCATCTGAACCATTATTACTTTCAGTATCATTAGATGGAGTTTTGTCAAAATCTGTCATTTCAATATCAGATGGAGATGATGATGGTATTGAAAATGAATCTAAAATAAATAAATAAATAAATAAATGAATGTATAAAATTGTTTTTCTCTTTTCTTACCAAATTTGTGTCTTGTTGTTTGATTTAATATTTCAGGTTTCATACTAACTTCTTGTACAAGTGGATTAACATTTGATGTAGCCATAAGTTTTTGTATAATTTCACCATGTGCTAAACTTAATGAACGAAGATTAACAATTTGAAGTAAAAGTTTCGGATAAAGATATTCTGTTTGTTCAACACCATAACGCCAATTCATATATTTACGTAAAATTATAGAATATTTTTCTTGTAAACGTTTAACTAAATTAAGATCAATAACATTTAAACGATCAGGTGAAAATAAAATAATTGGCACTAATAATGTTGATGTTACTTCATCAACATGTAAATTACACATTGATATTAAAAAATTTCGTGTACGATTAAATATTTCTTCTCCCCATAATTTAATAAGTAATGGATCAAGTGGTAAAACTTGATCATCAACAATAGCACGTTGATCACGTGATAAATAATTTGTAAATGTATGAGTTTTTGGATTAAATAATGTATTTGATGAACAAACCATTATTTCAATAGCTGAACCTTTAAGTAAACTAACTTTATCATCTTCAGAAAATAAATCAAAATCTTTGAGCATTCGTGCAAATAAGACAAGACGTTGAATTGGTACAATAAGAATATTAGCTGGTGTACTTGGCGGTTTTTCATTATTTGGTGATTGTACATTTTTTTGATCCGATGTTGAATTTAATATACTTCCTAATAGATTTGATGGACTTGGAAAATTTAATGGATATGTTCTAAAATATTTAAAAGATAATATATTGATTTGATTTTTATTTCTTCTTTTTTCACATATGATATTCTATTCTATTTGATTTTTTTTTTTTTTTGTGATCTAAACATCCGTACTGATTAATCAAAAAAGGTCATGATCTTTTCTATTAGTTTGCTTCTGAGATATAATCAATAGTGATTTAAAAGGTGTACTGAAGGACCTTATTTTCTAATAATGAGGAAGAAAACAAAAAAACAATATTTACGCTCGAGATTGATATAATGCATGTGCTATATCTTCAATAAGTAGTTTTTCTTCTTTCGTTAAAAATTTAAAAATATCTGGATCTTCTTCAGTTGTACGATTTTCACGAAAACGTTTTCGTCTTGAACCATATTTTTCTTCACGTTCTTGATCGGATAAAACCCTATTGAATATTAATTAAGTATTTTCTTCAAAAATTAAAACAAAAAACAAAAAAAAAATTATTTTCATTCTTACCATTTTGGTTTCATACCGATTGCTGTACATTTAGCATAACGACAAAATTGACAAACTTTACGTGTTGAAGTATTCACCGGACATTGTTCTAAAATATAATTAGATTATTTTCTTCTTTTTTTTTTCTCTAAGAAATTTGAACTAACTATAATACATCAAAGAGTATAAGGTATATTTGTATTTGTTACATACGTAAAAGTATCAAAGTACTAAGAAGTATCAACAAGTACGACAAAGTAGAATTTTAATAAAACGTATAAAGAAATATAAGAAGTATAACGGTATGTTTTTTTCTTTATGGAAATCTACGAATATAATAATGACTTCATTTTTATTTTTTATAAATATATTTCTTTGAGGGGGATTAAAAAAATTCTTCTAATGTTAACTAAAGATAAAATTTGTCGACCTACTTTTGGTTGAGTTCTTTTTTTTTAAATTTCCTATCCTATTATGATTAGATTTCATGCTATAAATTTGGTTTTCTTTCTTTTTATTTAAAGAACAAATAAGAGTCGAATACTAAGAATTTATCTTTAATTATTCTGTCTTGTTTTTATTCGAAAAAGTCATTAATTAAGCACTTGATGAATGTAAAAAAATTGTAATAATGATATAAATTAATAAATAGAAAGAAAGGTCATCATGACCTTTTAGAAAAATAACTAAAGGACAAAAAACAAAAATTTATAATTTACCATCATTGGAACATTTATAATTTTGAAAACGAAGACATTGAACAGATCGACGAAAAAATGCTTTACAACTTTCACAACTGTTACCACCAAAATGTATTCCTATAAATATATGTTTGTTTTTTTTTATAATTATTTATTATCAATAAAAACTAATATTTACCAGTGCTTATGTCTCCACAAACACTACAAAATCGACTAGGTACACCAATATCTGTTTCATTTGTTGTTTGTTTTTGCATGTTAAATGATGATATCGATGAAGATGAACCAATTAAACGTCGTTTTATTCCAAGTTTTTTATCATAAAATTGTTTGGTATCTACAATTTCGTCATTATCTTGCGAATGATAACTAATAAAGAAAAAAAAAAAACAAATTTTAATATTAAATTAAAACTATATATTTAATTTTTGTAAAAGATAACTAAAAACATTCGGAACTATTTCGTTATGATTCTAGATTTGTTTTTTTCTGTAAATATGATATCGCACCTTGTTCTAAATAAGCCATTGGATAGCGATGATTGATAAGGATGATTGTCGGTACTTAATGGTAATGGCATAAACATCTTTTTTACTTTGTACTATCTGTACTAATATATATATATATATATCTGGTTAAATGATTTAAAGGTAAACGAAACTGATTTTGTAATAGAATGATGGTAACCACAAAGTTATTAAACTTATAGCATTAGTGTCAATAAGGGCAATATATGTAGGTCTTTTTAAAAAATAAAAACGATATATACTTAGTAAATGATGAAAAGAAGAGAAATACAGGAAGGCAAGAAAGAAAATTAGGGGAGTAATGTAGAAGTGAAAAGAATGCGAGAGAAAGAGAGAAGAAAAAACTAAAAAAAACAAAAGGACACGAGTACTCAAAAATAGAAGAGAAAGAAAATGAGATAGAAAAAAAAACAGAGCGCAAGACGTTTAGGTCAGGGCGTATCTAGATTTTGAGTATTGATACATATTTGTAAACATATACATGTCTATATATTTTTTTTTTCTTTCATATGATAATATCTTACTCCTTAATGATAAAAAGTAAATAAAATGCAAATAATTCATCATTAATAAAATAATAATAATAATAATAATACTATTTAAGGAAATAATGAAAAAAAAAAAAAAAAGAATTGAACAATGTACTTAATGAGAATCAGTTCTATATTATGATAGTATTAATTTGAAATATTAGATGTAAATAGTACAAATAAAAAGATAAGAAAATTTAGATCATTGTAGTCTAATCAAACGATATTTTTTAGGTTTGTATTACAAGCATCAATGTTTACATAGTTGCATTTTACAATTATAGTTATATGACACAAACAGCAGACATGGCTGTATTCCTATAGACCCCGCTTAGCTAGTAGTGTAAGAGAACGGAAAGAAAAAGAAAAAAAAAATAAGGTTATTTTTAATACTGGGTACTTTTTCGTTTCTGCTCCACTTTTTCACAATCATAGAAATCGTAGATGTAGAAGTACTCGCAATGCAAAATGTAGAAAAGAAAAGAACAAAAAAATCTATCTGCTTTTTTTTTTTTTTTGCGTTTTTACTGTTTAGACAAATAAACTTAATGTTTATTTTTTCTTTCCAATGTTTACTGACGGGTCTTTTCATATTAGGTGATTTTGTGTCATCACAAAAGTAAAAAGTCTGCCCCGTTTTCCATAAATGAACATAGGTGTCCACGTCATATTATAGTTATATTGTCAAGTGATTACAAAAATAAATAATATAAAACTCAAGTAAATCTATTTATATATATATACGACTGCATTTTTGCCTATGATCATCTTTGAAGATTCCTTCTAACACTATGTGTTTATGAGTGTCGGCTTACGTCTTGAGAAAAGAAAAAAAAGAAGAATGACAAACCATGAACTATAACTTAATGAATAATTATGATTAAATACGTGGTGACATCGACATTGCGAAGTAAAATACCTAACAACATCTATATATACTTTCCTTTAATTTGCTTTTAAAAAGACAACCACTCTTCTTCATTCTGGTTAAATAAGAGACTTATAGAAAAGAAAGATGCATTTTTTTTTGTTGTTTATAAGTGATTCATATGTTGTAAAATGTAAATTAAACATTGAATCTAGTATATATTATTAACGTTCTATATGTAAATTAAAAGATAATAAATACATTACACTTAACAAATGATAGGGATATTAATATTGTATGAATTAAATTGATTATTAAAAATCATTTTATCATGAATGATGAAAATTATTTCATAATAATTTATTGAGTTAAACTTTTATTCTTTTTATAAAATATATTTCGATTAATATTGAAAGATTATGATTTAACGTATTATTTCTAGTCATTATTATACATTTTCCTTATCTAAACATTATTTAATGTATCAATATTACTTATTTTATATTGCGCAAAAGAAAAAAAAACAACAATTATTTTTTATCCACCAACGTAGGTCAAAAGTATCTTTTTTAGAAAAAATGTCCTAAGTCAGTTCAATAATATAAGGGGAAAAAGAATTGTTTTATGTTTGTTATAATTATCACAATCAAGGCACTTCATTGAATAAGAACAATAACTTGAACTCAGATGTAAAATAAAGCTATCGGGATACAAAATTCTTTTGAAAATATGTGATTAAAAAACGCCTCTAACTCTTTGGTTCCGGGCACGGTATATATACCACCTCAGATTTTGAGAAATACTCGAACTAGTATTTATACCACTCCAGCAACCAAAGGGTTAAAGTAATAAATAATAATTTATTTAGCAACCTACATAAAGCTTGTTAATGTCCTGTATGGACAATGGGTGATTTTATCTTATTTATCCAAAAGCTTAAATAAAAAACTTTAGTTTTTCAAATAAAAAACTCCGGCACCAGAAGGTTAAGATGTATTATTATTCATATTCATTATTACAATTATTATTTATTTTCTGATCATATCTTAACTAAAAACAAAGAAAAAAGTAACATATGCTGTTGTTATCTAAGCCTATGAATAAACAAAAGTACTTGTTTTAAGTTTACAATCAAAGGTGGAATTTGTACTTAAAAAACAAGTTATGTCACAAAAATGTTTTTTTTTATTTTCTTTTATTCTTTTGTAACGTCGTACTCGATTAATTTCTGTGTTTTGGTTGTATTTTATTTTCAATGTTTTTTTTAACATCACATGACACAACAATTCGATTGAATATTAATTGTACTTATGATATTTTTGTTTTGTGTCTAATTCAAATAAACATGCCAAAAGATTTAATTTTTTTTCTTTTTTTCTCATTCTTACATTCACTTTTTCATTAACATAAAATATCGAAAAGGAAAGTGAAGCAGAAAATAATTCTCGCGATACAAGAACAAATAAAAAATTCATATACTTCTCAAATTATGATCACATTACACTTAAGACTACTTATTCTATTATTATTTTTTTGTCATGATGAAATGTTTAATTACAAAAAAAAATACATTTGTATATATAGATGAACTTACCAAAAAATAAATTTATTCGTTATGCTATTCAAATTAAATCACCAAATTTTATGCTGTTGTAATTTTTTATTCTTCCTTTCTTGTCGATATGATCTGAATCATAGAGAAGAAAATGTACGAAACCAATTAAAAATATTCGAATACAAGGAAGAACAAAATAAAAGATTGACAAAAAATAAAATAAAAAAATACAAGTACTTAATCCTGTTGAGCGTATTTGTAATATCTAACTGTTTTTTTCCCAAACTAACAAAACAACCAAAATAATGAAGAATGTCTGTCTGCTATGTCACGATTGGCTTTAACAAACAACGAGTAATGATAAACAACTGAAAGAAAAGAAGGTTTTATTCTATATATATTTATATCAAAAATAATTATGATTAGAGGCAACTAAATATTTATTTGAACATGTTTCTATTAGTTATCGATCAATTTTGTCTCTTAAAAAAAAGTAAATATCTATTATGTTGTTACAAGAGAACATCAACGACTAGCGACACACTTATGATGTGCTGTCAAAGGAATTTAAAAAGGTTTCTTTCTTCCGATCATGAGCGGATGCACTTTTTAACAGCGACATCTATATGAAACCTGGAAACAATGGAGAAATCTAGAATATTTTTACATGATATCGCTGAGAACTGACAGAAAGAACATAATTATTATATCGAGATTAGAAATATTGGTATAATCTTATCATTTCGACAAGAACCACTTAGGTGAAAATTCTAGAAAGCAGCACAAGCAACACATTCTCAGTCTTAACGACATGTCTACGGACACTTATTCTAAACAGGAAACGTGTAATTCATTATACGACTGAAGCAGAACTTACTAATAAAATGTAAGTCACCTCGGATCTAACTGCATACTATTAAAAATATTTATGAAAATTTTGATTCTTTTTTTAATTATAATTTAAATATTATTGTATCTGAAATAAAGAAAGTTTTACTGATCGTTGATATTACAAAATTTGCAATAATAAAAACCATAAAGATGAATTCAATATTTCAAATAATTTTTAATTACTTACAGAAAAGAAAGTCTTCGATAAATAGGATTCTATTTATGTTAAATTACTGTACTTTTTCTAAGGATATAGACATACTTATTTTTCTTTGTTGTAGATAACATTATTAGTTTTTATTTCTACGTAAAGTACTCAAAAAAAAAGATAAACCTAAAGAGACAGTTATTTGAAGAAAAAAATAATAATAAATAAAGAAAAGAGAAGAAATTAAAAATAACGATTAAAACTAGTCTCAAAAACAACTAATAAGATTTTTTATGAAATATTATTTGCAATAAAATTCAAAGTACCTTACAAACTCACTTTATAAGATTAATATTACACTATATTTGATGGATATATATTTGAGACAGTAAATATTATCGTAAAAATATTTACAAAAACTATTATTCACATCAATGAAAATAAAATGTTGACTTCTGTTTTAACTGATAAAAATTCAAATATGAATTTAAATAGATACATTTAGTCATATACTTTTATAAAGTAACAGTAATCTAATAGATATATTTTCAATTTGATGCTATTTGAGATAATATACTATTGCTTTTTATTCATTGTTTTTTTTTAATGTATATTTCAAACAATATACAAGCTGATTTCTTTTGTCGAATAAACCGCGATTGATAGAAATCGATGACTATCATTTAGATTTTATTTATTTTTAAATGAAGTTAACATAATGTGCGACGCAATCTATTTTTTGTCATCTGGTATTCTTATCTTTGGTGCGTCGATTGAAAACATTAAAAAGACGTACATTATGAAAGCAACTACATACACTTGCTATTTATATCTTAGGACAAATGATAAAATGAGGTTTAAATGCGAAAGAGAGAGAGAGAAAAAAATATAGGAAACTAAGTAACTAGTTGATTGACATTCGTGGCTTTCATTTGTCTGAAAAAAATAGTAATTTATCTGTGTCGGACGATTACAATGCGAATTCTTTATGTCAATCTACAAAGTTGAAGAATATTCTACAACAATTGTATTGTGATGTATTTGTATGAAAATTAATATTAATGAAATGTTATTGGAATATATAAAAACAAAAAAAAGAAATGTTTCTATGTAAAAATATCTGTGAGCTATTGTTCGTACGACGAACGTTGAATTATTCATCAAGATTAAATATAAACTGACGAATATTCATGTTTATCTATCTGCAAAAGAAAAGGTAAAATTTACATTTAGAACACACTTATTCTTTTGTCAGCCTTCTTTCTTGCATTAGATCAAATTATAATATAATGAGAAATTGCACATTAAACGTATTATATAACTCTTATTAAGCTCTTGAAGATGGAGTTACTCTATTGACAGAAAAATTCTTTTTTTTTCCAAGCATTAAATGATATTTCAGAGAAAGAAAGAGAAATAATGACACAACAAGCAGTAGTGTCACGCTACACCGAAGGTAGGTGTTTAATGTTCTGTAATAGGATACAGACTATAATTATATCAAAAGAAGTACAAGCAAGAGAGTTACAGTCCTACGCAGAGACGTTAGCTATATATGGTTCTCCCGTTTCTCAGAGGTTAAATATTCATCATGAGAATATATTCACATATAGCATGTAACCGAACATGTTTACAACATTATTTACAATAAAGAAATCAACAAATATCTACCTGAATTTTCATTTATACTATTAGTTTAAAGTAATTAACAGATAGAAAAGGAAAAATTTTTTATGACAATTAATATTTCCTTTTCTTTCTTCCGTTGTAATCGTGAAAAATTGCTAAAAATATCTACATTTATATATGAAAACATTGATGGCTCTAACAAGTTTATGAAAAAAAAGAAACAATTTGGACAGTAGAAGCATCATTCTTATTCGTAATATTTTAAACAAAATTGTGTGCATATTTAGTATTCATTAGCAACAGTAATCCAATAATCGTTAAGCAAACATAGGCATGTAAACTAAAGAAATATTACTAACATTGACCTACAATAGGCGTATCATATTGTCATTGATAATATTGGTTACAAACAAATCAAGAAAACAGAATAGTACAAAAATCACGAGTATGACCTTGAACAATGTCATCATATCACTATCTACAATTTCATAACCTTTGTTATAAACATTACCTTCTGATTGATGTACAGTCATATTTAATTAAAAAAATATCTTTCTATTGGCTAAAAGAAAGAGTAAATAACGTATTTATACAGGTATCATCATGATAAATACGACAAAAAGTCATATGATTAATGTAATCGTAGGAGTCATTATTTTTATTCTATCAAATAACCGAGCAAAACATGACATATGTAATAATAATGTTTTTGTTTTAATCTACAGACAAATCTTCGACGCAAATGATGTTTGTCGAAAACAACTTCATTAAAAATATAAAATAAAATTCCAAAAACATAAATAAATATTCTACTATATTTATTCTATAAAATGCAAGGATGTATTTTTTTTTCAATAAATCTAATTATCTAAGAACTACTAAATATCTTAACTCATTATTGGACATAAAAATAAGTTCAACTAGTAGAATATTCAAATCATCAAATTTTTTATTTACAAAAAAAAAAAAAAAAAAACTAATTTATCGTTAACAAAAGTTGACAGTTTACTTCAGAAAAAAAAAATTTTCGAGGATAAAAAGAAAAAAAAAGCAATATGAATATAGTTTATCGTTCTACTCGATAACAATCAATATAATGAGTAGCTCGTTGTTTAATTAAATCACGTGTATTACGTGCTGTGTCACGTAATTGTTCAAGTTGCTGAACATTTGGCATTGTTTGACGACTTGTATCGAACGTTTTTAATGCATCTATATGTATATATATATATATATAAAATTCAAGTTATTTTTTCCACTTTTAAACAATAATCTTACCGTTAAGTTTTAAACCATATTGTGAAATTTTTTGTTGTAATGCTTTCATATTTGTATTTAATGTTCGTACTCGAACAGCAGTTGAGCGAGTTTCAGCTGGTAAATCTTGTTTATCACGTGTATAATTTATAAAATATGCATTAAGCATTGTTAAATCCTATATAAAAAGAAAAACAAATCTAAAAATCAAATGTTATAGTTTGTTTAATAAAATAAAAACCTGTGTAAGTTCATCTAAATATTTTGGAAGAAATTCAATCATATTTCGTTCAGTTTCAATAGCAATAACTTCAATAGAATTTCTTATGCTTGAATTAAGAGTTTGTTCAGCTGCTTGTAATTGTAATAAACGTATACGTGTTGCATTTAAATTTTGTTCAGATTTATCAAGTAAATCCGATGTCTACAAAATGTGTAGAGAAAAAAAAACAAAGATTATTTGATATACAAAAAAAAACAAAAAAAACAAAAAATTTACTTGAATAACAGCTGTTTTAAGTTCTTCAACATGACGATGTGTTTCACTTGCTAATCGTTTCAATTCATTAGTTTCATTATCAAGTTTATCGATATAATTATCAAGTATTTTTATTCCATTTGCTTGATCATTATATGATCTATTCAAATAAATTACATAAATCAATTCTGATCTCAAACATTTCGAGATGCTATATCTTCGCTTCCATGGTACGCTTTTTATGATATTTTTAGTCATTTTGAGTATTATATTAACATCCATGATCAATCAAGAGACGTAATAGAAGGCGATGGATATTCCAAAATCTTTGTTCGAAACTCCATCGGATATTTTTGGGATGTTTAACCACCTAGAAATCTAATTTTCCAACACTTAGTTGCTAATAACGCCTATTTGAATATCAGAAAAGTTTTTCGAAAATCCTTTATTTTTTATATAAATGTTAGCAAAAACCTAGTCCACAATAGAAGGTCACCTTTGGAAGAGGAATGTGAATTTCCATAATAGAAGGTCATGGCTTTTTTGTTCTGATGGAAGTTTACTACAGATTTGTTTGTTCTTTTCTTTATATTGTCAGTTTTTTGTTAGTCAAAATATTTATTATGTAAAATATCATTGTGAACATGTATGGACGATTACTATAACTACGACAATAAATATGCATGGGAGAATGAGAAAAGATTGAAAGTCTCGGTACTGATTTCAGCATGTTTCGCTCTTTGTTACAGTCGAGCTCCTTTTTTATCAGTTGCTAACAACTCGACACATATTGTTCATATCTATGAGACGATTTCGAGTACTCGCACAATCAAGTGTAGGTCAGGCTGGACATTACTCTTCCACTAACAGTCTTTACCATACTATCGGGAAAATGAAAAAAACCAATAATCGCTGTCATTAACACTATCTCGTATAAACTTTTTTGAAAACTGTGGGGCATCGCTCTGCTTAAGCTTGCCATAATTACCATAAAGCAGTAAAAAATTGGATGAGACCAAAAAGCTCGATGCCAGTACATGCTCAACGATAGCTCTACATCAAATGACTGTTATACTGGTCCTACAGGATAGTTTTGCTGCATCTATATTATACTTACACTAGAAAATGGTTTTCTTCTAAGGTTTAATAGGAACTAAATTTCTAGTGTTTGAAATCAAAGTGATGAACTGTAAGAAAAATAAATTTTAAATAGTAAAATTTAACTGTCCTGTCTTTCGAAGATTCTTCACACTTCATCATTTAAAGACTATTAATTATTCTGCAGTGAATATTAATCATATAGATGATTGTGCATAAAAAGAATCTTTTGTGTTTTGTTTTTTTTCATTTAATAAATTACCTGACATAAGTTGATAGATCATTTTCAATATTTTTTGCTCGATTTAATTTAAGTGTTGCTTCACGTAATTTTTCTAATTCATTTCCTGTTTGACTACTTTTTTGAGCTTGTTCAACTAATGCTCGAATATCTTTAATAGTTTCTTCTAAATTACTTGATGTTAAATAAATTTTCTTAGTTAATATTCGATCAATTATTTCTCTTATATCAGCTGGTTTTCTATCATATAAACTATCAGTTAAATTTGTTATTTGTTGTTGAATTAAATCAATATTAAAACTTGTTTCATTTAATGTTATATTAAATGATGAAAATGTTTGTTGTTCACGAATAATTTCATTTAATAATAATGTTATATCTTTTTCTAATTCATATTGTCGTGCATAAATAAGATTTGTTTCATCTTGTTTTGTTGT